TATTTAATATTAAAAATTTTCAAATAATTTAATGACTTATATTGATAATTTTATGTATAATTTAATGTATAAGTCAATACTGTATCCAAATTAAAATTATTTTTGATTATTTTAATTTTATTCAAATATATAAATTATTCAGACTAAAATTTAAATATTTGGATAATATCTAAAATATGCCTACCACTACCTTCGTACATATCTAGAAGTCATACAAAAACAAAATTGATGATTCATGAAAAAATGCCCTCGGAAGTCATGAATTATTTCTAACTATTAGAACCCCATGCTTTATGGATGGTAGCCAACTGGATTTGAAATTGCTTAACATGCTGCATCATCAAGATGATTCATGAGAGGATCAATGGGTTACATTATTTTCTGATAAAATAATACTATAGACGTAGTTTAAGTAGTTGAGTTGGCATGTGAATTGGATATTTCCTTTATTTTATGTAGTAGTTTGGTGTGTTAATCTAATCACAAGAATCCAATCCACAACTACACTTAAAGAAAAATTGTCAACAAAAACCTAAATATCTTAATAATAATTTCTTTCTATTAAAAATAAAAAATTTTAAGAATTCAGAGAGACGGAAATAAAAAATGGAGGGGATAGAGCACAGAACTGTGAACGTTAATGGCATAAACATGCACGTAGCAGAGAAAGGCAAAGGTCGGCTGATTCTTTTCATCCATGGTCTCCGGAGCTCTGGTACACCTGGCGCCACCAGATCCTCGCTCTTGCCTCTCTAGGCTACCGTGCTGTGGCTCTTGATGACCTCCGTGGCTACGGCGACACCGATGAATCGGATTCAATCGGCAGCTACACTTGCTTCCACTTGGTCGATCGGTGATCTCATTGCTCTTCTTGATGCTATCGCTGCGGACCAGGAGAAGGTGTTAGTTGTCCGCCATGACTGGGGCGCAATCATTGCTTGGTATTTGTGCTTGTTCGGGCCGGACAGACTCAAGGCTCTGGTGAACTTAAGCGTACCGTATCTCTGATTTGATCCAACAAAGAAGCCCGTCGACGCCTGGAGAGCTGCTTATGGCAACGACTATTACATTTGCAGATTTCAGGTCATATTTCGTTTCATTTTAATTTCAAATATATTTTTCTTAGTGGCAGATCCGAGGAATCAGTTATTAAAGACAATCCAAATTATTGATTAATTGATTAAATAACGGAATTACAGAAGCCACAAGAAATCGAAGCAGATTTTGCACAGATCGGAACGGAGAAACTTATGAAGGAGCTCCTGGCATACAGAGTTCCAGGGCCCCGTCGTTTTGCCTTCCTGGTTGTCAGAGGAAGATGTCAAGTACTACGTTGGCAAGTTTGAGCAGACAGGTTTCACTAGAGGTGTCAATTATTACAGGAACTTGAATCGGTATATTTTTATTCCAATTTCTTATACCAGCTAGTCGTAGTTTCTTTATTTTGAAGTTACTTTGCCACCATTTTTGGATTTGATGGATTATGAATATGTTCGGGTTACAGCCAACTGTAGTCCCTCTACTCTTAATTTTTATTCATGTCCATCCCTCTACTAAGAATTTGTTCGTTGTCATCCCTCTACTTTCCAAAAGCACTAAATGTCATCCCTGTACTCCCCTTATTTTGTCTATTGTCATCCTTTTATTGACCAACTGTTGAAGCATTTCTTGGAATTTTATTATTCCAAGTGTGTTGCCAGCTAGGAGGGAAGCAAGGGGGTTGGGTACTGGATGGTGAACATGCATGTTGCTATTTTCAAATGAGATTTTGCTTAATCCAAGACAAATGACGTTCTAAGTGTTGTGTCTTGTGT